CAAAAATCCCCACCTGACTCTTCCATTGCCCCACCTTCCTCTGCACGGCCTGATTCCCAGCTACTGGCTTGAAACCAACCATGCTGCCTCCAGCACCCGCCAGGCCCCAGGGATGCCTCTGGGACCTGCATCCACGGCAGGCCTCCTCCAGATGGGAAAGCCAGGAGCCTTTACGATCCTTGAAAATTAACTGAAAAAAAAAATCCAGTCTTCTATACCTACAAACACAGCCAATTTTTCAGTATTTACCTCTAAAAGCACATGCACCTTCACACCTCTGTATGACATGCGAGATTCTGAGACATAAGCAGCAGTATTAGGTATAATGTTACAATTAAGGTATTTTCTTCTAATGTGGTTCTGTGTGGTTCTGTGAATAGAAAATTAACAGACATGCATTCTGTTTCTGACTGGAAAATTGGCATTCAAATTAAAGTCTGTGTGGCTGCTCATCAAGTTGGGGTGTTAAAATGAGATGCTAAATCACTTAGCTTGCCCACTAACACCATCTTTCGGCTATTGTATTGACAAACTCGAGGAATGAGACAGGAATCAGAAAATGGATCTGGTTATCAGTTATTCAAAACACCAATCACTTATCCAATCTTACTTCTCCAGCAACATTAATTTGTCTTCACCTACTACACACATGAGCATAACAGGTATTTTAACTTTAGTACATCAACTTTTGTGCAGGGCTAAGCACTATTCTAATCCACAAAATAACATGCACAGTTTGCCGTTGAACACTGTGATGGGGGAAAAAAAAAGTGAATCAGTCTGGAGTCGTTCTGTGATTAAAAAAAAAAATCAAGCAATGGCCTAGGAGTAACTCCTGGTCCAATTAAAGATGCCCGATTTAAGATATTAATTCCAAGATATATTTAGATATAAGGTCCAATTGCATACTTAATATTGCTCTGAGGCAAAAACAACAATTAGTGGGTGACATGATAAGAAAAATCCCCAGTTGTGCAAATATCAGTTATCTCCAGCGGCACAATTGATGTAGCTACATAAGATACCACTAAAACTTCATGCACAGCTCATATTAGACAGAATGTCTTCAGCCAGGCTTGAGAATAACAGAAATAAAAAAGAAAGGAGGAAGCTATTAATCTAGCCAGTGAAAAAGAGAAGAAACCTGGCAGCATTGTCTTCCCTGTTATCACTTCGGTATCACTACATTATTTTAAAGAAGCAAGGTTCTTTCAGCTTAAAACCTCTTAACTTCTGCACTTAAAATTCTGTTATAGATTGCCAATCTCAGAACGCTAATATGACAAATTATCTTTCTAGGACTCTTCCTTTTATTACAGTGTCTCTAAACAATTTTTATGGAAACTCAAGTCACTAAAAACAATAGTCTTGAAGACTACAGTTGTGAAAAATACATCCTAGAGCTTTCTTTAAGAACTATAAAAACAGAGCACTTCAGATGATCCAAACACTGAATGATTTTGGTGTGGAAAACAGACCTGTGTCCTAATCCTGTAGATTTATGTAATGTTCTATTAAGATTCAACTTTTGAAAATCATTCAAGCACTTTACGGGCCTAAGAGCAGAGGCTAGCTAACCACAGACTACAAAGCTTGCAAATTTGTATCTGAGTTTTTTTTCAGCATATTAATAGATGTGCAAATGCTCCACTAAAAACATTCCACTGCCCAGGACAGATTTTGAAATGCACAGGGAAGGAGTTCTATTTTTATAACAGATTCCATGAAAAATCCCAGGAGGATCCTCAAAATAAACTACTGCATTACAAAATATTAATTAATGCAGAAGCAATATTAAAAACAAGCAGATGCAACATTAAAACTATTAATGTAGTGACAAGCCCTATAAATCTGATGGATACAGCCACATTTCTTGAAGCACTGTAACGATACTCTCGCCTCATTAGTAGTTCTAACACCAACACCTTTCATTTTTGTACTTTCCTGATATGAAGCAACTCAGGACAACATTCAACCAAGTGATCTGAAGTGCAACTTAAGTTTCAAAGTTAGAGTTTCTAAAGAAGCTCTCACTGCTGACCCTACATTTGTAACCTCCCAATCAATGCCTCTAGCCATATAAATTTACATACTCTAAAGCATCTGCAAACATATAATTTCAAAAAATGGTATTAGCAAGCTTTTTAGAATATGATAGGATTCAGTAATGTATTTTGCATTTTAAGGCTCATAATAGGTGATGAAGAAAATAATCATTTCACAAATAGTAGTTATTTGCTGATTCTTGGTAAGAAGTAACTCACTCTCCTGGCTGTGAAGCATTAGGAAATAAAATACATAGTGGTTCTGGAAATGTCTAGTTAACTATTTTGACAAAACTGAACAAAACCAAATAGGTGCAAACTAGCTGAAAACAGAGGTACGCTAGATGTTAGGGAAAGGCTCCTAACTAATACAGCTGCAAAGGTTGGAACAGCCTTCCAGTCAAAGCAGTAGGAACAAAAATCTTAGCCATTTTAAGTTAATCTTCACTAGTCGATGAAGGGGATTATACAATGTGCCTATCTAAAAGACGAGAAATAAGGCATTTTTCTGATTCTGTTTTTCCGCTGCTGTGTTTCAAATCTTAAGCAGCTCTACGAATCTCACAGCCATGAACTTTACCTTGTATGTGGAATACAAAGGTGGGAGAGATAAAGCCTGCCCAATGTTCTGTTCACCATCAC